CTCACGTTTGTAAGTATATAATAAGCTTTTATAACTTATTATTCTAAGCATTTTTGTCATTTCTTATAGATGTCTTGAGAAAGGAAATAAACACATTTCCGAAAGCCTGACAACAACACAGAGTGTTCTTATTACATTAGCCCTTAGCACTGTTGACGGCAATCCCAAATACATCACTGTTTTTTTCTTATATATATGTATTATAATACTATAAATAATTATTAATTTTTTTTGTATTGATGGAAATATAATTGTGTTTGAGATTTGTAATGAAATGACAAATTTAATGTTATCGTCAATTTATAGTATTATAAAGATCAAGTTTATCTTCGAAATGTCTTAAATTGTTTAAATTTTGATTATTTTTATAGTATTCTTAAAATCTATAAAATTATATGCTATACTTACCCAAACAAGCTCTTTTAATCTCACACGTAATTTTGATTTTTGGTCTTTACAGATAACTTTATTTTTTATATAAATTTTTTTTTTAAATTAAATTATTCTCAAACTATAATTGAATGATAAAAATTTTTATCGAGCACTTGAAATCTCAGTAGTAAGCTCACAAGCTATTCNATTAAGGTTTGAGGGTGTACATTCGATTTTTGATAGTTTTATTTCAATCTGTACAGGATCTTTTAATTCATAGCTGTTTATTCCATTTTCATTATTTACTATATAAGGACCCTCATATGGTAACATTAATTTTGCACATTGATTTTGTCTTTTATTTGCTACTCTTAAACTTTTTACTATAACTAAATCACCTTTATTAAAATTAACTTTATGTTTACTGGTTTTTTTCTTTCTTTTCAAATAACTGTATGCAGACTTTTTCACCCTTTCATTAACCTTTTCTAATAATGTTTGATAATTTTCAGATTGTTTTACTACCCATGGTCTATCAGGGTTTTTATTACAAAATAATGTTATAGGAGCTTCACCTGTAGTGATATTTTGAACATTATTTATAAAATATTCTACCCTTGACAAATTTTCTTCCCAAAATGAATGTTCTTTATATACCATCAATCGCAAGTACTTAATTATTTCCCTTATATACCTTTCTGTTGGATTTGACTCTGGATGTCGAATACTTGTATATCTTAACTGTATTTTATTTTTACTCATAAATGTTTTAAATTTCTTATTCGTAAAATATGTGGCATTGTCCAATATACAGTTCTCCATTTTTCCAAAATCCTTCATATAATTTTGCAATACTGATTTTACTGTATCTGTTCTTCTGTATTTCTATATCTGTATTTCTGTATTTGTTCTTCTACATGAATATAATTTAATGAATTTTGAAAAAATATCAACAACTACTAAAATGTGTTTATTACCAAAATTACTAGTACTTAAATTTGAAATGAAATCTATAGCTATTATCTGTAACGGTTTCTGTGCAATTATAGATTTTGGTGTCCCTTCATTATGCATATTTTTATTTTTAAACAATTGACATGTATTACATGATTTTACAACATCCTTTGTCAATGTTCTGTCATTCTTTGTATAATAAGTCTCTCTAAATATTGTCCATGTCTTATCAACCCCTATATGTCCATATCTTTCATGTAAATTTTTAATTATATCCCTTGCTAAATTTTTACTTATTGCAGATAGTTCTATATCATCTATTACTTTATAGTATACTCTATCTTTTAAAGTCAATGTTCTTTTTTCCTTATCTGTTAATGTTCCTTGATCTTGTACTAAAATCTGATTTGAAAATATACCCCCTGTTTGTCTCAAAATATTTACCCCTATTTTAAGTTGTCTCCTTTCAGTTTTGTTAATTTCGTCCATTCGAGTCAATGCGTCTGCCAAAATATTTGTTCGTCCTTGTATGTATTTAATGTCATAATCATACTCTTGTAATAATAATGCCCATCTATGTATTCTATTATTCCCAAATTTATTATTCAATATTGACGTTAATGCCTGATTGTCCGTATATATTGTAAATTTATTTCCTAATAAATAAAATCTAAATTTTGATACACAAAATATAATACTTGCCAACTCTAATTCTCCAGTACTATAATTTCGTTCATGTTTTTTAGTAACCCTTGATACAAATGCTATTGGTACGTCTTTGTCCTCTCGTCTTTGTAATAACACTCCTGCAAACCTATTTAACGATGCATCCGTATGCATTATAAATGGTTTGGAGTAGTCTGGATGAAAAATTTGTAATTTATTTACAAACATATCCTTTAAATTCTTAAAAGCATCTTCATGTTCCTGTTCCCATTTCCATCTAACCCCTTTTTTAAGTAATTTTAATAAAGGTACTTCAAATTTTGACAAATCTGGTATTAGTCTTTTAAAATAGTTTATTACCCCTAAAAAACCTCTCAAAGTTTTCAAATTATAGGGTCCTATATAGTTTTTAATTGTCTCTACTCTATCTTTACACATTTCAATTCCTGTCAAATTTATTTGGTAACCCAAATATGCTACTTCCGTTTGTACAAATTCACATTTCTTAATATTTATTTTAAGACTAGCATCATCTAAAGCTTTCAATACTATGTTCAAATGTGTCATGTGTTGTTCTATTGTTTCTGAGAATATTAATATGTCATCTATGTAGTGTAATACAAAATTATCGTATCTATTTAAGATTTTATGCAGGGCTCTAACTAATGCAGCACAAGAACTCTGTAAACCAAATGGCACAACATTAAAATGGAATACTTCCCCATCTATCATAAACCCTGTATATTTTCGACTTTCTTCCTCCAAAGGAATTAACCAAAAACTATGTTTTAAATCTATTTTAGAAAATATTTTTGGATTCGTTATTCTACCTAAAATTGCCTCAATTGACAATGGTGCTTCATATTGAGGTATAGTACATTTATTAATATTTCGTGCATCTAAACAAATTCTAATATCTCCATCACTTTTTTTAACAATAACTATTGGATTAATATACTGAGTCCTACTTCTTGATATGATATTGTTCCGCAATAAATTATCTATTTCTTCCTTTACATTATTTTTATATTTGTATGGGATTGGGTAATTCTTTGATTTAAAATTTCCTATATCTCTTACTTCTATTTTGGGACTATAATTCTCTGCAACTCGAGTTTCTTTCATAACTAACCTTTCATACTTTCCTAATAATTTTTTAACCTCATTTACACTTTTTTCTTCACATTTAATATTTATATCATTAATATTTATCTTTTCACATTCATAATTATCAATTAACTCATCTTCATACTCTTCATATCTATACCTATTAATTAATTCAACTTCATTATTACCCGCATTTTTTTTTTCATAATCACTCATTTCATTACTTTTAATTACCTCATACATCTTTTTACATTCATCCTCTAACATACACTCACTCTGTTGCTTTGAATTTTCCTCACTTAATCTATTATTTGTAAATTCTATTACCTTCCCATACAATTTTATAACTTTCTTTTGATAATCAATTATAAATTTATGTTTATTCAATTCATCATTGCCAATAACTATATCACTATCTAAAATAGGTACTATTAAAAGTTGTAAATTTACATCTACTTCATCTATCCTAACATTTATACTTGCTAATTTTGAAGATTAATATAGTTTTTTATTATTTGCCCCTACTAAATTTATTTTTGGAATTCTTATAATTTGGAAATTTAAATTTTGATGTTGTTTTATAAAACTTTCTTTAATTAATGATGCTTCAGATCCAGTATCTACCAATAGTTTTACTAATATATTAGAAACTTTACCCGTTAAATATACTAATTGTTTTTCTTCTTCTTCTTTTTGTTTTTGGTTACTTTCTTGTTGAATATATTCGCGTGGATGTTCGTATATACAAAATAGGGAATCTACATTTGGTTTACTACTTATTAAAAATTCTGTACTACATCAGTGTTTTGTGTATTACTGGTTGTCTGCATTTGATTGTTTCTGTCCATTGAACTAGTCATAAGTGTGTTCGTGTCATTTCTATTGGAATCTTCACTTTCCCAGTAATGAATATCACTAGGTCTTTCATATCTCTGAAAATTTACCTGTCTCTCTTGACCATCACGAATTCGTCTGTCTTCATTTTGGTATCGTCCTGTATTTTGTTGTGGATTGTTAGTATTAAAATTCGTACTATTATTTTGTCTAAAATTGTAATGTTGTTGTCTGTTCCTATAGTTATTGTCATTTCTGTTTTGATTATTTTCTAAATGATTGCCAAACCTTCTGTAATTACTATTCTGGAATCTATTACTAGAATTTTGATAACAATTATTCTGTCCGTCTTGATTTATATTATCATTATTAAATCTCCTATTAGTACCAAATCTATTAGTGTAATTGTTATTATTCGTGCGTATATTGGAATTTTGTCTATCTCGTATATTGTTTGTGTTATGCTCAAAGTAATTTATGTTTCTTTCTATCCTACTTAAATAGACACATAATTCATCCATATTGTTGATGTTATGTATAGCCAAATTTTCTGCAATTTCTGGCTTAAAATGCCTCGATATGTATAAAACTATTTCACTTTCTAACATTGGTGGACTTAAATACTTTGCTTTTGTATACAACTGTAATGCATATCTAGATAATGGTGTTTTCCTTGCATAATCATATTAATATAAATTTTCCCTGACTTTGTTTTGTCTATAATCACCCCAAAAATAATTTAAGAATAATTTTTCAAAAGTTTTTTTATCTGTAATGTCTTGTTCTTTACTATTAAACCAAATCAAACTTTCGCCTGTTAAATTTTCCCTAATAATTTCTTTTATTTCATCAAAATTTTCTACATACTTAATTTTGTTTTTAAGAGATTTTAAAAATACTACAGGATGTATTTGTTGTATCGAGCCATCATATTTGTGTGTATTATTTATATTTGAACATGTGATAATTTTAGTTTGTGTCGTTTGTTGTTGTAGTTCCCTTAATCTTGCAATTTCACTCATTAATTCTTCTCTTATTTGCAGTATCTCTTCATTGCTTGGTATTTCTTCGCCATTGTTTGTTCCTTGCCTTCTTATCTGTTGTTCTACTATATCTAGTCTCTCTCTATTTTCTTGTAATTTTTTATCCAAGTTTGTCATTTCTTTTTCCACTTCTTTCTTCTCTTCTTGTGTATTCTTTTGGATTTCTTTTATACTTTCCCATATTTGAAGTGTTCTCTTGTTTCCTTCTATTTCATACTTGTTCACCTTTTCTCGGTCTTCTTCAATTTTCTTTTCCACTAGTTTTATTTTGTTTTCCATCTCATTTTTAAACTTCTCCCTTTCTTCTTTAAATTCCTTCTTTATCTTCTCCACTTTTTCTTCCATATTTATATTGATTTGATCTGCATTTTTCTGTATTAATTCTTTTAATTCTTCTAATTTATTTTCCTCTATCTCTTTTTCTCTTCTACGTTCCTTAGCTTCCATTTCCTTTTCTTTCATACGTTCCTCCTTGTCTTCCCTTCTTTGTTTTTCTCTTTTTTCTTCAATTTCCTTATTTTGTTTTTCCCCTTTTTCTTCCATTTCCTTGAATATTTCCATTAAACATTCTATATTTTCTATATTCCATTGCAGTTTCTCCTGAGGTAGGAATAATTTGTTCCGAAAGCTCGAGTAATAAAAAAGAGTACACTTCAAGTTGGCTTTGACTGCATACCCGACTATACTTTAAGATTTTGTTCTTTAACTTAAACAGTCGTCTAACGCTTTGGCAATATGTATATTTTACTCTCCACGGGAAAAAGAAGCTAACAATAGCATCGTCATCTAGACTTGATGATGATGATTATGATGATGATGATAGAACATTTGAAGAGGAGCAAGAAACTCGATTGGATGATATAACTCAGGAAGCTCTAGAAGAATATTTAGATCAATATCCTGCAATATCTCAAAAGTATGTTACAGAGCATTGGGCTGATAGTGATGTAATTGATAAGAATTATGGACCAGTATACGATTCCTCAACGTCATCGTGGCTACTCGGTCGAAAACGGATCGATTTTGACATTCATACCGGTGATATAGTAATCGATGGTCAGCAATTCAAAAGAACACCGAGGTTGTACCAATTTTTTCTATCATGATCCATCTTTCAATCAAGAGGATAAGAAATCTTATAAAAATATTCTTCAAATGACTGGCGCTCACTAAGACGCAGTAGGACGCTTAAAAGATTCCAGTTCGTTAAAGTATAGAGAAATTATTAGACCGCTATTTATTAAGACGACACAACGTAAAACTACTGGTAGAGGCTTGTTGTCTCGCACCAATAAGTTAATTTACAATACAAAGCCTATGGAATATATTTACTGGGATGATCCCAACGAACTTGTCTATCGTTTAAGGCTGCTGGTAGCACATAAAAACGCTGGAAATACGTCACACAACAACGAAATTTCAGCAATTATCGAGGGGTTAAAGGTGGCTAGAATAATATCTTAAGTCGTCACATCGTCATGTAGAAACTGGATAACCGTCACACGAAACTGGATAACCGTCACGTAAAAACTGGATAACCCTCACGCGAAACTGGATTACCGCCAGGTAAAAACTGGATAACCGTCACGTAAAAACTGGATAACCGTCATGCGAAACTGGATAACCGTCACGTAAAAACTGGATAACCGTCACGTAATTAAGGATAACCGTCACGTAATTAAAGATAACCGTCACGTAATTAAGGATAACCGTCACGTCGTCATGTTTTACGTCACGCCGTCACGTTTTACGTCACGTCATCACGTTTTATGTCACACATATCCTCCTTGGATCAAATACTATAAAGTTGCTTACCAAACGATTTTGCATCATTCTACACGATGAGTCTTGGTAAATTCATCGTCATCGCGATTTCAACGAGCGTCATATACCTCATGGAATTTGATCTTCGTTTACTCCTGATGGCAATATTGACATTCGTAACTTGAGAATATGTAATGTGACCTTGCCTGATATGCGTCAGTACGCACACTATAACAAAAATGTTTAAATGATTATGGTCGTCGTTCCTCAAAATTCCTGTGGACTAGACCTTTAAAAACAAAGACTGGTGAAGAGATAACCACTGCCTTTGCTGACATTTTAGCTCACAGCAAAGGTAGAATCTGTATAAATCTACAAACGGATCAGGGTACGGAATTCTTCAACCAAAAATTCCAGCACTTCCTCAAGAAGCATGATATTAATCATTACAATACGTACAGCGTGAAAAAAGCCGCCATTGCCGAACGTGTGATAAGAACTTTGAAATCAAAGCTGTATATTTACTTTAGCCTAAACGGTACCTATAAATGGATAGATGTATTACCGGATATTACGAAATCCTACAACGAAACCCGACATCGCACCACGGGATACAAGCCGTCTCAAGTAAATAAGTCCAATGAAGAGAGAAATTTAAAGTGTGCCTGCAATCATATTAAGATAAGCGGCCCGCAAAAATTCAAAGTGGGTGACGTCGTGCGCATCAGCAAAAATAAACACGTCTTCGATAAGGGTTACACGCCTAATTGGACGACCGAACTATTTAAAATTACGTCGGTTAAAATAACGAATTCAGCGACATACCTCTTGGAAGATATGCAGGGAAATCCTATAAGAGGTGCCTTCTATACTGAGGAGCTACAGAAAACCGCCAGCCCCGACATTTATCTCGTAGAAAAGGTACTAAGGAGAAAAGGAGGGAAAATTTTCGTGAAGTGGTTGGGGCTTGTTAAGAAACAACAGCTGGATCGAAAACACCAACATAATTTAGTTTGAGTTAGTTCGTCGAACGAGCAGGTTGTATGCAAAATGAGTGAAGTTTCCGATAATTTAAGTGATTAAGAAAACTATTTACTATAGTAAGGGCCTCGATGATATTCTGGCTAAATATGAAGTCGCACGGTGGGAGCAAATTTACTTGCTAAGTAATGTTTTTCCACTAATATCTAATGTCAACATTCAAATACAGTGTGGATTAAGTCCACCTAGATCCTTCAGATCCGCAATAATTATAAGAAATAGCAATGGTAATAAATTATCATTTTCTACCTATGAATGGCAAACTCTCTTGGAGCTACTGGAACGTTTGAAAAAAGATTTCTTCCAAACACCCCTGCAAGGTTGGCCTGATGAGTATGAACCTGTGACTCATCGTTGTGGAGATTACACGACAGTTACCCAGGTAATCTATGAAAATGGTGCAGATCATAAAATACAACATGCGCATCTATCTTTTCCTTCAAGGTGTTGAAGAACTGTTAAAACTCGATACTTGTGTGCTGTCGCATAGAATAAATGCTAGATTCGTTAGATTTTTGTCGTTACTATCATAATGTGTTAGATATTGTAGCTGGTTGGATAAAAGCAAATTAAATTACTTTAAATGTTGAACAAATTATAAATCATTTTTGTGATATATCTAATGATAGCATATTAAGTAATACTTTACGTGAATATCTATACTATTATAAAATTAATGTATTGTATGAAATAAGTAAAAAATAAAAATGCTAATTAACATATCTTATTTTATTTTTTCCTCAATTCCAGTTTCAATAATATAATAGAAATTTAACTTTAGTAACATTACACAAGTGAGTCCTCTAGTATCAAAACCCCTTAAATCCGTTTTTGATGAAAAATGAGATATACGCTTCAAAATATTCCTACTAAAATTAGGAATATTTTGAAGCGTATATCTCATTTTTCATCAAAAACGGATTTAAGGGGTTTTGATACGAGAGGACTCAAGTATACTCTTGTCCACAGTTTTATCGTACATAGAGGTTTAAAACAAATAAGACACAAACATTGTATGTATGTATGTCGGAGGTGTGGTGAAATTGTCTTCCACCGCAGCACTTAGGCCTTATTAGGCCCCTTGTACACCCTCCGTCATTACTCGAGTACTCTTCTTCAAACCATCCTATTTACTACACAGGTGGCTTGGTGGCAAAGTCTCGTACAGTTTATGTATGATAGCATGGTCTTGAGTTACAGAGATTTCTTGCTCTGCACTCAATACCATTTATCGGGGACCACACGCGTGCGGCAAATGTTGGGCGACCCAGGTCTCTTGGTAGGCTACCACAACCACGTCCCCGAGCCTGCCTTAGATCACCCATCCAAATTCCGGCCTACGTCCGTGATGCTTGACTCGGCAGATCGAAATCCGCCGGCCAAGACACCCGGCTAGGCGGTCTCCAAGACACAAACATTAAATTTACATACTATCTATTGAATAGTGTCCCCAAGGTAATGGCTATCGTTTAATAAAAAGCGTTTATCATCAGCTGCACTAAGAGCTAGTTTTGTTTGCTCAACTGAGAAAACATTATGTAAAGTTGACTGAATGGTCCTCTGTTTGCGATAGAGTTCAGTTTTATTATCTAAATAGATTTTGTAGTCGTCAAATGTGATGGAATTTTTAACTATATGCTTTTTAACTCCTTTAGATTTTTTAATAGTAGATTTGCCGTCTATTAAGATGCTGTACATTTTAGAACGGAGCCCGACAAAATGCGTCATTATTACCCTACAGCATTCATCCTTCATTAAGCCTGGTACTTTTTTATTAACTAAAGGTATATTATATTTATTATTAGGCTCATAATCTGAAGTATCAAATTTGTCTAAATTGAATCTGAATCTGAATTGAATTAAAAGATCGTAAACGTTATCGCAGGTTACTTGATACGAGACTGTCGGTGTTTGTATAAAGCAATTTGCAGTCATCACCTAATTTTGATAACAAGAAATTGTAGTGGAAGTCGTATGGAGACTGTTTAAATTTCAATACGCGATGAATTTTGACGAGCTTAACCCCAAGAGACAGTACTAAAATAATTTAAGCAAATATCGCAAATGTATTTAGCATTCTTGTGTTTATTTAATTGAGAAGAAACCAACCTAGATAAATTTATCCAACAAAAATGATACTTAATTTCTACGTCATCTCTGCTACTTTCCTCCTTATGCTCATCAAAATAAATATTTTGAATAGTTATAAGATTAACGTGTCTCTTTAGTTTATTGTTGGTAAAACGAGCAGGTTCAACGTTATATTTATTCTTCCCGGTTAATTTTAATTGATAAACGTTAACCGAAATGTTATTAAGTTTGTAAAATTTTGAAATTTGATTTAATGTTACTGGAAATTCTATTCCATTCAAATTTAAAACATCTTTGTAATAAGGATATGATGATGTTCTATCTGGGTGTTTTAGTCTATCAACTGAATAAAATGCTGAAACAATAGACCAAGCGAAGCAGGCATCATCGTCATAATTTTTAACGTTAACACAAACATTTTTCTTTGCGATTACCTCGGGGAGCCTGATAAAGGAAGAAACTCCGTGACCCATTTCAAATTTGTTAATGTTAATTTCCAAACAGACAGTTTTGTGTAATGCCCAGCCACTATCTTTTTCTTGGAACTCTTCCAGTTTATTCAAAATTTTATCCATAACATTTTCTTGAAACCAAACTTTTAGATCTGTACCCAAATCTGCATTTTTTGTATTGAAATATTTAAATTC